AATCGGTCCCGTGGTGTAGCGGTTAGCACTCAGGACTCTGAATCCTGCGACGTGAGTTCAAATCTCACCGGGACCTAGTCTTTTGCAGAAGATCTTCAATACGTCGCCATCGTCGAGGGCGGTCTGCGATAAGGATAGAATGGAAAGCAGTTATCAGCGATGTGATTATGTCCGAATCGGTCCCGTGGTGTAGCGGTTAGCACTCAGGACTCTGAATCCTGCGACGTGAGTTCAAATCTCACCGGGACCTAGTCTTTTGCAGATGGTCTCCAATACGTCGCCATCGTCGAGGGCGGTCTGCGATAAGGATAGAATGGAAAGCAGTTCTCAGCGATGTGATTATGTTCGAATCGGTCCCGTGGTGTAGCGGTTAGCACTCAGGACTCTGAATCCTGCGACGTGAGTTCAAATCTCACCGGGACCTAGTCTTTTGCAGAAGGTCTTCAATACGTCGCCATCGTCGAGGGCGGTCTGCGATAAGGATAGAATGGAAAGCAGTTCTCAGCGATGTGATTATGTTCGAATCGGTCCCGTGGTGTAGCGGTTAGCACTCAGGACTCTGAATCCTGCGACGTGAGTTCAAATCTCACCGGGACCTAGTCTTTTGCAGAAGATCTTCAATACGTCGCCATCGTCGAGGGCGGTCTGCGATAAGGATAGAATGGAAAGCAGTTCTCAGCGATGTGATTATGTTCGAATCGGTCCCGTGGTGTAGCGGTTAGCACTCAGGACTCTGAATCCTGCGACGTGAGTTCAAATCTCACCGGGACCTAGTCTTTTGCAGAAGGTCTCCAATACGTCGCCATCGTTGGGGGCGGTCTGCGATAAGGATAGAATGGAAAGCAGTTATCAGCGATGTGATTATGTTCGAATCGGTCCCGTGGTGTAGCGGTTAGCACTCAGGACTCTGAATCCTGCGACGTGAGTTCAAATCTCACCGGGACCTAGTCTTTTGCAGATGGTCTCCAATACGTCGCCATCGTCGAGGGCGGTCTGCGATAAGGATAGAATGGAAAGCAGTTCTCAGCGATGTGATTATGTTCGAATCGGTCCCGTGGTGTAGCGGTTAGCACTCAGGACTCTGAATCCTGCGACGTGAGTTCAAATCTCACCGGGACCTAGTCTTTTGCAGATGGTCTCCAATACGTCGCCATCGTCGAGGGCGGTCTGCGATAAGGATAGAATGGAAAGCAGTTATCAGCGATGTGATTATGTCCGAATCGGTCCCGTGGTGTAGCGGTTAGCACTCAGGACTCTGAATCCTGCGACGTGAGTTCAAATCTCACCGGGACCTAGTGTTTTGCAGAAGATCTCCAATACGTCGCCATCGTCGAGGGCGTTCTGCGATAAGGATAGAATGGAAAGCAGTTCTCAGCGATGTGATTATGTTCGAATCGGTCCCGTGGTGTAGCGGTTAGCACTCAGGACTCTGAATCCTGCAACGTGAGTTCAAATCTCACCGGGACCTAGTCTTTTGCAGAAGATCTTCAATACGTCGCCATCGTCGAAGGCGGTCTGCGATAAGGATAGAATGGAAAGCACTTCTCAGCGATGTAATTATGTTCGAATCGGTCCCGTGGTGTAGCGGTTAGCACTCAGGACTCTGAATCCTGCGACGTGAGTTCAAATCTCACCGGGACCTAGTCTTTTGCAGAAGGTCTCCAATACGTCGCCATCGTCGAGGGCGGTCTGCGATAAGGATAGAATGGAAAGCAGTTATCAGCGATGTGATTATGTCCGAATCGGTCCCGTGGTGTAGCGGTTAGCACTCAGGACTCTGAATCCTGCGACGTGAGTTCAAATCTCACCGGGACCTAGTCTTTTGCAGATGGTCTCCAATACGTCGCCATCGTTGAGGGCGGTCTGCGATAAGGATAGAATGGAAAGCAGTTCTCAGCGATGTGATTATGTTCGAATCGGTCCCGTGGTGTAGCGGTTAGCACTCAGGACTCTGAATCCTGCGACGTGAGTTCAAATCTCACCGGGACCTAGTCTTTTGCAGAAGGTCTCCAATACGTCGCCATCGTCGAGGGCGGTCTGCGATAAGGATAGAATGGAAAGCAGTTCTCAGCGATGTGATTATGTTCGAATCGGTCCCGTGGTGTAGCGGTTAGCACTCAGGACTCTGAATCCTGCGACGTGAGTTCAAATCTCACCGGGACCTAGTCTTTTGCAGATGGTCTTCAATACGTCGCCATCGTTGAGGGCGGTCTGCGATAAGGATAGAATGGAAAGCAGTTCTCAGCGATGTGATTATGTCCGAATCGGTCCCGTGGTGTAGCGGTTAGCACTCAGGACTCTGAATCCTGCGACGTGAGTTCAAATCTCACCGGGACCTAGTGTTTTGCAGAAGATCTCCAATACGTCGCCATCGTCGAGGGCGTTCTGCGATAAGGATAGAATGGAAAGCAGTTCTCAGCGATGTGATTATGTTCGAATCGGTCCCGTGGTGTAGCGGTTAGCACTCAGGACTCTGAATCCTGCAACGTGAGTTCAAATCTCACCGGGACCTAGTCTTTTGCAGAAGATCTTCAATACGTCGCCATCGTCGAAGGCGGTCTGCGATAAGGATAGAATGGAAAGCACTTCTCAGCGATGTAATTATGTTCGAATCGGTCCCGTGGTGTAGCGGTTAGCACTCAGGACTCTGAATCCTGCGACGTGAGTTCAAATCTCACCGGGACCTAGTCTTTTGCAGAAGGTCTCCAATACGTCGCCATCGTCGAGGGCGGTCTGCGATAAGGATAGAATGGAAAGCAGTTATCAGCGATGTGATTATGTCCGAATCGGTCCCGTGGTGTAGCGGTTAGCACTCAGGACTCTGAATCCTGCGACGTGAGTTCAAATCTCACCGGGACCTAGTCTTTTGCAGATGGTCTCCAATACGTCGCCATCGTTGAGGGCGGTCTGCGATAAGGATAGAATGGAAAGCAGTTCTCAGCGATGTGATTATGTTCGAATCGGTCCCGTGGTGTAGCGGTTAGCACTCAGGACTCTGAATCCTGCGACGTGAGTTCAAATCTCACCGGGACCTAGTCTTTTGCAGAAGGTCTCCAATACGTCGCCATCGTCGAGGGCGGTCTGCGATAAGGATAGAATGGAAAGCAGTTCTCAGCGATGTGATTATGTTCGAATCGGTCCCGTGGTGTAGCGGTTAGCACTCAGGACTCTGAATCCTGCGACGTGAGTTCAAATCTCACCGGGACCTAGTCTTTTGCAGATGGTCTCCAATACGTCGCCATCGTTGAGGGCGGTCTGCGATAAGGATAGAATGGAAAGCAGTTCTCAGCGATGTGATTATGTCCGAATCGGTCCCGTGGTGTAGCGGTTAGCACTCAGGACTCTGAATCCTGCGACGTGAGTTCAAATCTCACCGGGACCTAGTGTTTTGCAGAAGATCTCCAATACGTCGCCATCGTCGAGGGCGTTCTGCGATAAGGATAGAATGGAAAGCAGTTCTCAGCGATGTGATTATGTTCGAATCGGTCCCGTGGTGTAGCGGTTAGCACTCAGGACTCTGAATCCTGCAACGTGAGTTCAAATCTCACCGGGACCTAGTCTTTTGCAGAAGATCTTCAATACGTCGCCATCGTCGAAGGCGGTCTGCGATAAGGATAGAATG